AAAAAAAAAAAAAAAAAAAAAAAAAAAAAAAAATAGGTTTATTAGATAAATAACATGATAAAAACAAGTTTTTTTTAAATAAAAAATTTTTAAAAATTTAATAAAAATTTAATTAAATAGAAATAAGTTATTATTAATTTACATATAAAAAGAAAAAAAATTTATACATTGTATTATTATGTGCATTTAGATAGATGCATTTCATCCGTATATATACATATATTACAGAACTCCATTCTTAAATATTATTAAAAAAAAAAATTACAAAATGCACTAGTATTTGAAAGTATATCAATTTAAATGTTAAAAGAGCATCTGTTCATATAAATGTTGATATAAATATGGTTTTTTGAAAAATTCCTTATACACATAAAATATTATAAAATTTTAAAATCTCATTACAGAATATTCTATTTTTTTTTTTTTTTTTAAATCTAAATAATTCTTAAAAAAAGAAATCGATAAATAAAAAAAATATAGAATTCTTTTTTATTGTAATTATTATGCCTTTTTTTTTTTTTTTTTTTTTTTTTTTTTTTTTTTTTTTTATTGTTTATTATAAATGCTTATCGATGAATTTAAACAAAAACATTTTTAATTCGTTTTATCGCGTTGTGCGAAATAAAATATTTGTATAGAAATAATAAAATTATATGATTTTATATCAAGGAGATATATATATGTAAATTTTTTTTTAATTATAATAAAAAGAATTGATGTAAATTATGGACAAATTAAATAGAAGTAAAAGATTAAATTAAAATATAAATTTATGAAATATATTTTTGTAAATTTTATTAAATCTTTTATGAATTTTTTTTTTATTTTCCTTAATATTTTTTACATATAAAAAGATCTAAAAAAACTTATTTATTTTTTTTTTATTATAGATGATATAATTAGAATAAATGTTGGCGGAAAAATTTATATGACTACACTTAAATTAATTTGTCGATACAAAAATTCACATCTATATAAAATTGTTTTTGGTATAATTTATGAATGAATATATTACAAAAATTTTCTTTTTTTATTAATACTTTAAATTTTATTATAGAAATATAAAAAAAATTTATATATATATATATATATATATACATATATTTAAATATTATTATTTTTCTTTTTTAGAAAAGTTAAAAGAAATACAAGATTATGCTACAAGTAAACATCATTTTAATATTTTATAAATATTTCTTTTATTAAAAAATTTATTTTTATTTTTTTTTTTTTAGATGATTTTAATAAGAGAGAAATATTTATAGATAGAAATGGTATGTTATTTTTATAAAATGAAATTATATTTTTAGTTATAATAATACTGTTATTAATAATTTTTTTAAAATACATAATTATCTAAAGTCAAAATTATGTAATTAATAATATATTAGATATTCTTATATAAATTTATATATATATATGTATATATTTACGTATAGGAAATAGATTTGAATACATTTTAGATTTCTTAAGAGATGGTGTTCTTATATGTGAAAATGATATTAACCTTTTAACAAGGATACTAATAGAAGCAATATATTTTAAATTATTTTCTTTAATTAAAATTATAAAAAAAAAAATTTCTTTGTTATATTCAAGTATGGATAGTATTATAAATAAAAAAATTTTAAAAAGTATTATTAATTCAATAGAAAAAAAGGGAAAAGTAAAAACAGTTAGATTGAAAAAGTTAACAGAGGATGTTTCTGAACATAGTGAGTTAAAATATTTTAATTTTAAAAAAAAAAAAAAACATCGTATAAATTTTCTAAATACTGTTAATGTTGTAAATGACGTAGAAAAAGAAAATAGCAACTTAAACGAACATTTAGATGATAAAATAAATATAAGAAACATGAATACCATAAATTCAACAGAAATTTATAAAAACAAAGACGAAATAATGTTTAATAAGAGTGTGAATTTTGAAGAGAACATTACGAATAATGAAAATAATATAATGAATATGAATATTAAAAAAGATGAAAAAAATAGTAGTAATGGAATATTGTATATGAATAATGCAAATACAAGTGATGAATATAATATAACAAATAATTATTTAAATAAAGGAGAAAAAATATATAATAAAAATTATATTTATAGAAATTATTTAAAAAATGATAATAAAGAAGATAATTTCATACCATTAGAAAATAAGAAATTAAAAAATATAGATAGTAAATCTGTTTCTTTTTCTGAAAATAATAAATTTTTTTTATATAATAATAATGGTTAGTTTCTTTTTGTTGATATTTATTAAAAGTATATATACAATTAATATATATTAATTTATATATAACTTTTTTTTTTTTTTTTTTGCAGATATTTCAGCATTTAATGATGATGATCAAATAAATGAAAATTTTAGGAAATTTCATTATGATATTAATGATACAAATCATACAAATTATAATAATAATAATAATTACAAACATAATAACATAAATAAATCAAAAAATCATATTTTAGTATATTCGGAAATAGATGACGTAGAAGAAACATCACATTTTCCAATTGTATCAAATGTAAATTTAGGAGAACAAATATTTAGTACAACGGTTGATTTTTAATCCTATCTTACTACTTTTATTAAACATATTTTTATTGTATATATATATATATATATATATATATATATATATATATATATATATATATTCCTCTTTTTTTATTTATTTTTAAGTAATAATAAAACTCAATTCTGCAAATCACAATGCATAATAATTACTAAGTTTGCACGGGTATACATGCATATGTAATTATAACATGAAAGATTAACTTTTCTTTTTTCTATATTTTATTTTTATTTGAATAAAAAAGTGTTTAAGTTTTTATTATTTTTATTTTATTATTTTATTTTTTTTTTTTATGAATAATCAGGGAAATTGTTTAATTTTTAGATTCTTTTTTTTATGTTTTAAAATTTTTAGAAAGATGCATTGATAAGTTTTTTTTAAAAGAAAAATAAAAAATTTATATAAGTAATGATAATAAAACATATTTGTTCTAATAAAATACAAAATAATTATATATATATATATATATATATATATATATATATATATATATATATATGCATATTGTCTAATATTTTTAATGTTTTCACCTGTAAAAATAAAGCAAATATTTTTATCTAAGAATTAAATTAAAAGATATATAAAAAATCCCCCAATAATTATTTTTAGGAAAGTTTAGATAAACCATCATACAATCTTAAAATTTAAAAAAAATTATAATAAACAATTTAATTAAATTTTATATATTTTTAATCACATATGTTAAGCGTAATATAGTTTAAAATATGATAGACTTTTCTTTTAATTAAGAAAGATATATATAGTTTTAAAAAAAGAAAACATATAATTACAACATGTAATTGGTTAGTGATATTTAAAGAATAACAGATAAAGAGTTGCATAACTTTTATATAGTACATTTTTCTTATTTTAATGAAATTATGTTTTTTTTATTTTTCAATAAACTTTAATTATAGAAAATGTTAGTTTTTTCATTTACGATTTATCTTTTTTTTTTAGTATTTCCTTTGAACACTATTTACTATAAAAATATTAAAAACAAAAAAATAAAGAATATAATATGTCTTAATTATAAAAAAAGCAAAATTATTATGAAAATATGAATAAACTACTTGTTGACACTGTGATATATATGTATTTTGTTTATCTATTAATTATAAAGTAAATCTAATAAAAAGGAAAAAACTTTTAATATTTAAAAAAAATTAATGAATAAAAATTTATAAAAATAGGGTTTAAAAAAAGTATTTTTCTTTTTTTTTTTTCTGGACAAAAAAAAAAAAAAAAAAAAAAAAAAANTTTTTTTTTTTTTTTTTTTTTTTTTGGACTTTTGAAAAAAAAAAAAAAATTATAAATATTTTTATACTTGTGCACATAATAAATATAGTAGTGTAATAGAATAAATTTGTTTTATTTTTTTAAAATGGTTTTTTATATATTCATATTATTATATATATATATATTTTTTTTTTTTTTTTGCATATAATAAAAAAATTCAGATAACCTCTTGATATATTTGTAAATTTATAAAATACACTTTTATATATATATTAAAAAAATTAGATTAACCTTGTCAAATTATTTTATATTATTATTATTTTTTTTTTTTTTTTTTTTTTTACATATAAATAGGAGTTAAATGTATAATTATAAGAAAAGCATTGAAAAAAGCTATAACAAAGGCATATTAATTTTTATAATTTTTTTTTATTTTATTCAAAATTTTGTCATATTTAATTTTTATTTTAGGTTTTATTTTTTTTTTATTTTTTTTTTTTTTTTTTTTTATATTATAACTATTATCTTTATTATATAAACTTTTTTTTTCATCTTCATTATAATATTTTTTTTTACATTTATTGATATTTTCATCAATGAAAATAATTATTGATAATATAATTTATTTTTTTTTTTTTATATGTATATATTTTCTGTGTATCATTTTATATGTATTATTTTAATCATAATATTTTGTTAATTTTTTTTTTTTTTTTTTGCTAATTTATTTTTATTTTTATTTTTTTTTTCTTCTCCATCTTTTTTTTTTCTCTCTATTTTTCCATTTTATACTTTTTTTTTTTTTTTTTGTAGTAATATTATTATTAGTATATTATTACTATTATTATTATTATTACTAATAGAATTTTTATATGTACGTTTATTTTTCTGATAATTAGTAATAATTTTTTAATTATTATAATAATTATATTCATTTTTATTATTATGTTTAATTGTGATAAATTAAAAATACGATGGATGCTATAAAATTGAAAAATATCATATATAAATTTTTAGAGAATGAAAATCAATTAGATTTAAATTACGATATTAATGATGATCCAACATACTTTGAGGAGATAAAAGGGAGTTCAAAAAAAAATTCAAGTAATATATATAGACCACGTAATTATGAATTAAATAGAACATTAGAAAAAATTAAAGGATTCTTAGATGTAGAAATGTCATCTAAATACGAACTTTTCTGTTTCTTTTGTAAATATTATTATAATAAAGAATTTTTGGGAGAAAGAAAAAAAGAAATAAGGGATAACGAAGTAGTATTGGGGGAATATACTTTTAAAACTTATGAAGAAATAAAAAATGAGGTAGAAATATTTGCATCAGCTCTTTATCAATTTGAAGAAATTGAATATAATATTTTTGATGATAATGGAATACATAATAAATTAAAAATATTAGGAATATGGTCAAAAAATAGAATAGAATGGTTTACTACTGATATGGCATGTTCTGCTATTGATTTTGTAACTGTTCCAATTTATGATACTATGGGAATAAATTCAGTTATACATATTTTTAAAATAACAAAAATGAGAATATGTTGTATTGAAGCAGAAAAATTGGAGTGCTTAATAAAAATAAAAGATGAATTAGAGAACCTAAACATTTTAATTATTTATGATGAATGGAGCTTAAAAGAAGACTTAAAAAAAAAAGCTAATGAAGCAGGATATAAAGTATATTTTTATAAAGATCTAATTGATAATTATAAAAATAAAAATATTATTCCTCAATATTATCATTATGATAAAACGTTCTCAAATGGACATAATAGAAATAGTAGTAACGAAAAAAACAATAGTGATGATAATAAATTATCGACAAATAATAAGGATGATTTCAATTGTGAAAATAATTATGTAAATAATATCAGTGAAAAAAAAAATAAGATAAGAAAAATGTCTAATGAAAATGAGGAAAAGGAAAAAATGAATGATAAAAATGATGAAGAAAATATTATTGAAAATAATCGGGAAGATATTAATGAAAAAAATAATAATATTTCAAAAAACAATATGGAGGAAATAGATGAAAATTTAGTAAATAATATTAAAAAAAATAAAAATAATTTAAATAATGTGTGTACAATAATTTTTACATCTGGTTCATCAGGTACTCCTAAGGGTGCTATGATAACACATTACAATTTTATTACATTTATACAAAGTTATTTAATTGATTGTAATAGATTAGGTTTAAAGAAATATGATATTATTTTTAGTTATCTTCCTTTAGCACATGTATATGAACGTTTTATTGAATTCGCTGTTTGTTTTTTTGGTGCAAAAATTGGATATTTTTCTGGTAATGTGAAAGAGTTATTAAATGACATGAATGAATTGAAACCAACATTTTTAATAACTGTTCCTAGAATTTTACAAAAATTTCATGATAATATTATGGAAGGTTTAAAAAATAAATCTTTTGTTACAAGAATGCTAGTAAAGACAGCAATAAAAAATAAGAAAAATATTTACTTAAAAAATTCCAAGAAATTTCATCATAAAGTTTATGATTTAATTTTACAACCAATTAGAAATAAATTTGGGGGAAATATAAGAACACAAGTAATGGGTTCATCGTCAATGGATAGAAATAAACTGATTGATTTGCAAATGATTTTTTCATCTCCTATAACAGAAGGATGGGGAATGACTGAAGTGGGTATTAGTTTTTTACAAAATCGATTTGACAAGACAAAAGGAACAATTGGGGGTCCTTTTTCTAATGTTGTATTTAAAGTAGTTAAAGTTGAGAATATGAAATATAACCCGAAAGAATATCCTAATAAAGGTGAGTTATGTATTAATGGTAGTAGTATTATGGCTGGCTATTTTAGAAATGAAGAACTTAATAAAAAATCATTTGATGAAGATGGATTTTTTTTTACTGGTGATGTTGTAGAAGTAAGTGAAAAAAATGAGTATGTTAGAATTATTGATAGAGCTAAAAATATCTTTAAATTAGCACAAGGAGAATATATAGAACCAGAGAAATTGGAAAATATATATTCGAATAGTTTTTATATTGATAACATATTTGTTCATGGATATAGTTATGAAAATGAATTAGTTTCTATTATTGTTCCTAATGAGAGTAGTGTCCTTGATTATGCTAAAAAAAATAACTTGAATTTACCATATGAAGAATTACTAAAATCTGATGCTATTCATAAACTTTTTTTTGAAGAACTCTTAAATATTTCTAAAGTTAATAATCTAAATGGAATTGAAAAAATTCGTTTGTTTCATTTAACGCATATTCCTTTTTCTATATATAACAAGCAACTTACTCCAACACATAAAATTGTTAGAAATGTTATTCTAAAGGATTATGAAACTATTATAAATGATCTATATGAAAACAGAAAAAAATAATTTTATTTGTAATTCCTTTTTTTTTTTTTTTTATTATTTGGTATTTTTCTTATATATATTATTGTGTATATGCATTGTTATTTTATTACATTTATATTTTACTAATTATTACATCTTTTTTTTTTTTTTTTTTATTTTCATTTAAAAAAAAAAAAAATAAATAAGACTTTTTTTATTAAAAAGGGATATTTCTTTTCCATAATTTTTTATTTAAATACATACTCTTGTTATTTCAATTTTAACTTTATTATATACAATGTTAAATTCACTAACTTCATATTTTTGTGATAATGTGCAATTTTTTCTCTTTTTTTTTTTTTAATTTGTATTTTAACAATAATTTTTCATTTAGTAAAATATGTATCGTTTTTTCATTATTCGTTAAAAGTTATACATTACTCATGTAAATTGGCACAAAGCTTTGCTGTAAAATTATCATATTGTCTTATGAGGATTGACTGAGTAAACTTTATGATAAAAATAATGCATATATGTGTAGAAAAATATTTGAAAATATATTATTTTGAACTTTTGTAAAATTTATATGAAAAATATCAAAATTGAATAAAATAACAAAAATTATTAACCTATGAGTAAACTACACTATGAAAAAAAAAAAAATAAATAAAATAAAGATGGAATAAAAAAGCAAACTATATTATCTATTATTTATGTAGGAAAATAAAGCTATTCTAATTTTATTTTTCTAATAGATGTAAAATGAAGTTTTTGCTTTTCTTAATCTTGTCATTCTTATTATATGAGAAACATGTTTCTAAATTTTACACAAAAATTAGTAAATAATATTAGTGGAAAGAAAAATCGTATTAAAAGGTAATATGTAAAATATTCTAAAATACATATTTTTTATCTGAATGTCTTTTAAATTGAAAACATTTATTCTGGTTTTTAGAAATGTATGTTTTTTTTTTTTTTTTTTAATTTTTAGAAATTAAAAATTTTTAAAATTTACTGAAATTATTAGAAGAAAATTAAAAAATGTTGAATTATGTATTCCATTACATTTTTACGTCAAAAAGTCTTCAAATTAAGTGAAATTATTAATATTAATTTATATATAAAATATTTTTTATAAAATAAAAAAATAAAAGTAGATAATTTTAAGTAAATTAAAATTTTAAAACAAAATAAAAATTGCATAAAGAAAAATTAACACCTTTTTAATATAAAATTTAGCTATTATAGCTGTACATTTAAAAAATAAAAACAAAATAAAAAATAAAAATAAAAATACATGACGTTTTCAAGTTTGAATTAAATATATTTATCCTAATTTTTTTTTTTTTTTAATTAAAGCAATGTTAGAAAAAAAAATATGTCAATTTAAATCTGGACATTACATTATCAATGCATATAAAAATGTATTTTTTTTTTCAATTATATGCCTCCATCAAAATGTTAAATATCCATGAATTTTTAAATATTTATAATCTTGTATGACAGACATATAATTAAGAATAATTTTAATTATGTGAAAGAAGCTATAAAACAAAAAAAGAAACATATATTTTGTTACTATCATTTATGTTTTACAGTTATGTTAATTAAAATATCTTATTTAAATTATTTCTTGAAAAGAAATATACATCAACAATTTTCATATTTTTTCGAAACATAATGTTCTTCTTTTATTTAATAATTTTTAAAAATAAATAATTTTATCATGTTTAATTTGTCTTCATTAAGTTTAAATACTAGAGTATATATAGTAAACCAATTTTCTTTGAACAACGATTATTTATGCAAATATTAAAAACCTTTATTTTCTCTATGATTTGTTTCTTTATCTAATAAATATACATTTTAATAATAAATAATTATTATTTACTGTTATTTATGTAAAATTCGAATTATTGAAATTCACATATTATCAATAAGTAATAATTTTTGTAATTATTTCCGTAATTTGAATTTTGTAATTCGTAATGTGTATTTAGGAAATATATTAAATACAGAATAACATTATTTTTAGTTTCTGAAAAATCTATAAAAAAGAAAGAGAATAAAAAAAAATTTATTTAATACTTTTTAAAATTAGCAAAAATTACATTTTTGGTTATAATAAAAGGTACTTCATATACTCATAAATAAATTTTTATAATTTTCTATTAATTTGAATTATTTTTAATTATAATATACTTTTAAATAGTTATATTCTTAAAAATAAGAAAAATATTTTAATAAATTATATATTACTTTTGTAAAATTTTTTTAATATATTATTTTACCTTTCAAGATTTACGTATACACTTTCATATTTTATTATATATATATTTTTTTTTTTTTTTTATAGAAATAATCTATAAAAAATGTTTTGATATATTGTGTTATATTAAATATAGTCGGATTCTTGAATTATTTTTTTAAATATTTAATAAATTATAGTTATAATTTAAATTAATTCTTTATTTTTTCTTTTTAATTGGTTATATGATATTAAAGATGAAGAACGATTTGGAACAGGATAATTTCCATGTAACACAACAGTTTCATATTCATTAGAATTTGAAAGATACATATCATAATCTTTTCTATTTAAAGAAATAGAACCATTGCTACTCTTATTTTTAATAAATTTGTCCGAATATTTATCATCAATTTTTAACATCGTATCAAAATATTTTTTATAATTTTTGTAATTACTTCTACTATTTTTGCGTGAAATAGAATTATTATTGTTATTATTATTATTATTATTATTTTCAATATTATAATGTTTACATTTTTTACATAAATCCTGTTCTACTACTTTTTGAAGGATATTTTCTTTATTTTTAAGATCGTTAAAATTTGCCGTTATATGCATGTCGGTAAATTTTGGCAAAAACCATGGGTGTCCTAATGCTTGTAAAGCAGTACATCTATCATCCGGATTTTTGCTACACATCCACAATATAATTTCTTTTACACTCTCAGATTTATTTAGCCAATGCTTTGTGTTAAAGCTTATATGGCATCTCATATTTTTTTTAAAAATTTCTTTTACATTATTTCCTCTGAAAGGAGGATAACCACATAGTATATTAAATAAAATAACACCTAAACTAAATATATCAACCTTTGTACCATAAGAAGCATATTTCAAAATTTCTGGAGCAACATAACCTGGAGATCCACATCTCATATTCATTGAAGGGCTATTCAAGAATGAAGCTAATCCAAAGTCTATTATTTTTAAAGAGCTTGGATCGTTTGGGTTTTCAAGCATTAGATTCTCCATTTTTAAATCTCTATGCACAACTCCGTTAGAATGAAGAGCTTCTAAAGCTATTAAAATTCTTTTAATTGCTTTCTTTGCAATTTGTTCTGGATAAGCTCCATTATTATTTAGATATTCAAATAATTCTCCACCTTTTAAATATTCCAAAACCAAATAAACATATCCTTCTTGTTCATATGCTGAAATTAATTTTATGATATATTTATGCATAACTTTTCTTAATACTTCTATTTCAGTATATACATTAGATTCTTTAACTTTAGATTTATCTACTTCTTTAACTACAACTCTATTACCATAAAGTATATTTGTACCTATATAAGCAGTGGAAAAGCTTCCTTTTCCTATTTTTTTATTTAAAACATATACATTCTTAAATCCTAAAATAGGATAACCGAGCATATTGAAAAATTGGCTCATTTCGTTATATTCCTCTTTACTTCTGCATTGAAACTGATATTCTTCGTTTGATGTAATTATATGGACACAAGGTCCTATTTCTGTAATATTGTTAATTATACGACATCCTTTCAAAGGTACAGTAAACTCCGGTTTTTCTTGATACATAGAAGTCCAACACAATAAATATGGATTTTTTTTTTCATCATATATTAATGACACATGTGATGCAGCACCAGTTGCTAACGGAAATTCTATTCTTTTCCCTTTAAACAGTTGATGATATCTTTTTTCCATGTTTTATGAAACAAAATATAATCTTAACAATCTAAAATGAACATGTACATAAGTCAACTTTTTTACATGTTATAATTTTTTATAAACATAAAAAATACATGGGAAAATCGAAATTTTTAAGAATAAAAAAACAAAAGTAGTGTATTAGAATTTATATATGCTAAGATATAAATTAAAAAATCAGTCAAATTAAAGTAACCTCTATAAAAAAAATAAAATATAAATTAACTATACAATCAAATGTAAATTTTAAAATTAATTCATAAAGGTGACAATAATTTAAAATTAAAACATGTTAAAAACAAAAAAAAAAAAAAAAAAAAAAAAAAAAAAAAAAAAAAAAAAAAAAAAAAAAAAAGAATGAAAGACAAAGAAAATATATATATATATTAATAAAAAAAAAGTCTTATAAAGATATAAACATTATAAAACTACATAAAGTTACTGATCAAACAGTACTAATATATAACCTATATAATAATATAAATATTTAAAAACAAAGAGAAAAAAAGTTCTCGTTTTTAATTTATATACATTAAACAAATAATGTAGATAATAAAATGAATAAGCCAAATTAATTAGTCACTAAAAAAAAAAAAGTTAAAAAAATTTATATATAAGCATTATATATAAATTTTTTTTTATATCATCTTAATATATCATGAAAAGGTCTCTAGTTCCTTTTTAAATTTAATCATATAATTCTGGCATCTTGATCAAATTAACAAATATAAATCTACAATAAAGTGATACTATTCATTTTTTCAAACTTTTATTATGTTTATTATATACTGTATATTTTTCACAATAAATAAAGATTTTAAGTTCTCCAAAATTATAAGTATTTTTTTTAGTTTTGTCTTCAGTTATTTTATTTTTTTTTATTTTATATATAAAGGTTTAAAGTAAAAAATACATATAAACTTCTTTCCATAAACGGTTTTTTTTAATTCACAAGAATTGCATAGAAATAATAAGTGTTTAAGTTTAAAAAGCAATACATTTATATTCTTAAAATTTTATATAAAGAAGTGCAATTTGAAGCGTCACGCTATTTAAAAATTGAAAAAAAAGGAAAATTCACTTATGTAAATAAAATTATTACAGCATTTTTCTTAAAATTAAAAAAACGAATTTTTAATATAACAAAAAAAAAAGTAAAATAAATATGATAAAAAAAAACAAAAATATGTATTTTTAGGAAGTTCAGATAAATAATTTAAAATTAATAAATAATTCAAATAAGTCATTAAAAATATAATTTATTAAAAAAAAAAAAAAACTACACAAAAAAGGGATGCATAGAATTATTAATAAATGCGTCAATATTTATATTTTAAAGCTGTTGTTCATAAGAAAAAAAAAAAGCCTATCTTTTTTAATAAATTTTGGTTTTAGAAATAAAAAATTTTATACATGAGTAAGTCAAATTAAGTAGAATGAAAAAAAAAATTGTGTTGTCAGAAAATTTTTGGTTTTTTTTTTTTTTTTTTTTTTTTTTTTTTTTTTATTTGCACTTCTTGAATTTTTTTATTACTTATAAAAAATATAAAAGTACATAATTTTTTGTTATCTCATTTTTGGCAAATTATTTAATGTATTTTACCTTCTTAAATGAAAAAAAAAAAATTAATTTTAAAAAAAAAATTATGAACCTTAAAATTATATATTAAAAAAAGAATTATGCAGCACATTATGAAAAAAACTTTGAATGTACACCGATTAAATAAATTTCCATTAACATAATTCAAAAAGTACAATAGCTAATGCGAGTAAATTTCATTTGGTAGGAAGCAGCATGATCAGAAAAAAAAAAAAAAATAGCGATTTTTAAATAATTATATATGTTGATTATGTAAAAATTATATGATAAAATATATTTGCCTTACCATTAAATACAAAAAAAAAAAAAAATTATAAAGAACAAATACACTACGATTTTGTCATGCACACATAATAGCTAACCTAATTTTTTTTCCTTTTTTATTTTTTATGAATCCTTGTTATTTTTTATTTTTTTATATGTTATAAAATTGCATGTTAATGAATTTTTTTATGTGTAAATTATTTATCTTTTTGCATACAGAACACACTATATAGAATGCATCAAACACATTAGAACCATTTAGAGCTCATTTTAATCTAAAAAATACACGCAAATTAATATAAAATTAAATTAACAATGCTTCAACAAATTTTCGTATATTTTAATAGTCATTACATTTTATATTGTTATTCTATATTCTCCATGATTAAACTAAGCATATAATTTTCTATTTTTTTTAATATTAATATGATCAAGAATAAGAGTTTTACATGTGTATAATGATTTAAAGGAAATAATGAATTACTATACATGAAGCCATATTAAAAATAATTTTTAATTAAAATTTGACTATATTTTTTTTCTTTTGAATTTTTATTAATGGTGAAAATTTAGCGGAAAATACAGGTGAATTATAATATATTTATAATAAATAATTTCCAGACGCATGTAAATTCAAGTTCTATATTAACAAAAAAAAATGGAAATTTTATTGTTAGTAAGAAACAAAAGGTTAACACATCAAAATATATTTTTAGTATGTATATATTAAAGAATATATGTTTGCTTTTTATAAAAAATTCCAAAATATTATAAAATAGTTTAAATCTATAAATTATAATAAATAATTAAAAAAAAAATATAAAAAACCAATATTTAAGCATTTAAAACAAGTAATACAAAACTTTTTTTTAATTAATAGCAATCAAATTTAAATTAACTATTTTTACTTTTTTATAACTTTTATTAGTAAAAACTAATTGTTTATGTTTTCTTGTATAAAATTCAAAAAGTCCATTATGTATTTAAAAAAAATAAGCCACATTAATATTATAAAAAAGATCATTCTTTATAAAAAATATCTATGTTACTTTTTTGTTTGTGTTTTATTAAAAAAGAAAAAATGTGAAAAAATATTAAAAATAAAATTCAAAAACAATATTTCATATATATACAAATCACAATAATTAATTTCAAATAAAAAAATAAAAATAAATTTTAAATTTAAAAATTTTCATTTAAATAATTCAAGTATTTATTTTAACAAAAAAAAAAAAAAATTATAATTTAATAGAATTTAATTTAAATTATTATTTTTTATTTAAATTTTTAATTATTTTATTTAGATTTCTCTTTTTTTTTATAACAAGGAGAGGCTTTTGAAAAAACTTCATTAGAAATAAATTTCAGATGAGCTTCCTTAGCTAAATGAGCTACTTTCTTATTTTTACAGTACAATCTTACATTACATTCTTCAAAATACCTTGGGTGTGTTCCTCTATATTCCTTATGTGCTATAAATGCTTCTTCTTCATTATCTGAACTATAAAAATAAACAAAATCAAGAGGGTCATTTTTCCCCATTCCATAATTTAAATAATTCCAATCAATGATTATATCATCTGGACTCAATCCATGGGAATATCGAGCAATCTTTTCTTCATTTGTTATTTCTTTTAAATATTTAATTAATTTTGGTTCCGTTACATTAATTTCTGAAATGTATTTATAAGCATATTCTGAATTTCTATCACATATAACAGAGTTAATAAGGTTCAATGAATTTTTAACATTTTCATCGTATTTACATGTTTTTGCTCTTTTTTTAATATCATATATTATTGAGGAATCAGTTAAGTTAAGAAAAAAATCTAAATCATCTAAACATTCAGACCATCTAAAGAAATCATCAGCCAATCGAAATCCATCACATAGCATCAGCTCCATAGCTCTAACTTTTCTATGAGTATATACTTGTTTAAATAAGGAAAACCTGTTCATATAAACTGTCCATACTGGATGAATTTCTTTTACATTATACGTTATACAACCATTAATAGCTGCACTTTGACAAAGTATACGGTTACAATTTAATGAGGGAAGCGTTCCATTTGGTGGAGCAATTGTTGCATCTCTTTGTAAATAATCAAATTTATCGGTATCTAAACCATTTCTATTATTACAAATAATATCGTATGAGGCTTCTATTAAAGAATCTATAGGATCTAAACCAAAAGATTTTTTATAATGCTGTGGTCCAATTATTAATTTTTTTATTATTTTTACATCACTAACATCTAATACTTCATCTTGATCTATTAAATTTTCAACAATGTGTTCTGCAATTTTTTGCGACATAGAAGCATGATTCCATTTGTGTTCTGTGTCATTTTTTTTATAATTAATAAAATAGCTTTCAAAAGTGTGGCTAAATGGACCATGTCCTAAATCATGACATAGTCCGGCTATTTGTACACAACGAAGCATTCTATTTAATTCTCCATGATAAGGAGATAAATTGGATCGATTACACAAATGTGTAAAGTATTTGGCAGATAAAAATCCAACTCCTAAACTGTGCTCAAATCTAGTATGTGTTGCACCAGGATAAACATACTGACAAGCTCCTAGTTGAGATAAATTTCTTAATCTTTGAAAAAATGGATTATCTATAATATTTTTAAAAGTCCACTTATCAAATTCAATGAATTGATGAATTTTATCACATATAGTTTTACGATTTTCTTTATTATTTTTAGTAAAATGCTTATTATATTGATTAAAAATATTGTTACAAAAAATTCTTTTTTTTTTTATTCTTACTATGAAATTAACAATCAAAATAAATTCATAAAGTGAAATATTCATTTCATTTTTTATACATTCAAATTTTTTTGATTCTATTAATTTTTTTAATGATTCTATATTTTTTATATTAAATAATTCAAATTTTTCCAATAAATGTCCTAAATTCAAGTAAATACACATTAATGAAATATCATTTGTTTCAATAATGCTATATATACAATTCGTTAATTTTTCTTTATCGTTATTTGTAATAGGAAACAAACTTATAACATCTAAGTTTATATATATATCAAAATAAGAAAGTGTAATATTATTACTTTTGTTTTCTTTCATTGTTTCATAATACTCATACATCTCTTTTATTTCCATAATGTTTCCATGTTCTGCATTAATCATATTATTATTTTCATGTATGTTTGTAGATATAGTATTTTTAATTACATTTTCCGATAAATCAATAAAATTATTAGAATCTCCATTATTTGTTTTTCTTTCTAGATTATATGCATTATCATCATGGAAATTTACTTTGTTATCACTTTCTTTTTTTAATTTATTATTATTACTAATATGAAAAATATTTCTATAGATATTAACTTTTTGATTTAATTTATTATTTACATCAGCATTTTCAAGAGTATTTTCATTGTAATTGGTAAATTTGAAGAAGGATACTGCAAATATTAAATCATATATTGTTTTTATATTTTTCAATTTAAAAAACTGTAATATTTTATTCTTATTTTCTACTGATATGTTGTGTAAAAACGATTCTACACAAGAATTTTTATCTATATGATTAATTTTATATTTTATGTCCATACTTTCTTGTATATCTTTAAAATATTTGTATTATAAGTAAATGTAATAATTACAATATCATAAAAATAAAAAAGTAGTTTGCTTAAAATACAAAAAGATAAAAACAAAAAAATCCAATATATTTTAAAAAAAGGTAATAATTGTATTATAAAAATATCATATACAAAATATGATATTTTAAATTAAAAATGTAAACATAATAAAAAATAAAATCAAAAAACTTAATCATTAAAATACAGACTTTTGAAATAAAAAAAAGGAAAATTTAATATTTAATTATTGTAATAATAATTTATATACAATTGTAAAGTTATTTTTATTTTAAATTAAAAAATGTACTCTTGTTATATGAATGAAAAAAGAACGTAAAAAAAAATTAAATCTACTAAAAAAATTTATAGATTAAAATTATTATAAATACAAAATTAACATTTTTTTTTTTTTTTTATTTTCCTTTTATTTTTTTTTGTTTTTTTTTTTCTTTCTTTTTTTTTTTAATTTTTTTTTTTTTTTTTTTTTTTTTTTTTTTTTTTTTTTTTTTTTTTTTTTCCGTTTTTTTTTTTTGTTTTTTTTTTCGTTTATTCTTTCGTTTTTTTTTTTTTTTACTTTTTTTACATATTTTTATTATGAATTATTAACAAAAAATAACCTTACAAAAATTCATATAAAAAAAAAAAACATCAACTTTATTACAAAAAAAATATGATTTAATAGTTCATTGAAAACATTTATTTCGTTCTAAGATAATTTAGAAAAAATCATTACGAATTTTCAGAAATATAAAATAAATTTCTTAATGTAGAATTAAACAAAACTCAGCACATCATAATAAAATGGAATTGTGTGCAGTAAATATATATGTATTTTTTTTTAACCCCTAAAATATAAAAAAATTATATATTTTAAAACTTTTGTATTTTATTTTTTATTTATATGTTTTTTTTTATTATTTTTTGAATAAATATTTTAGTTATTTTTTATTTAAAAAATCATCTTTCTAAAGTTTGAAAAAATATATTACATATGCATATCGCAATTTTTTTTATTTACTATCTTTATAAGAAGATTGAAAAAATGAATATTAGTACTTATTTCACTAGGAAAAAAAGATCACAAAATGTTTTAATGATTTTAGTTCTACATTTCTATCAAACACATTTCTATTTGTCGATCGTACACTAATTTTTTATATATAATAAAAAAATATGTGTTTCATTAAATTTCAATAAAATTTCTTTAATATTTTTAGATTTCAGAGGATATTTAAATTATTTCTTTACATTGTATTTTATGAATTTTCATGTATATTGTTTATAAGGTTTAACTTAAAAAAAAAATTGATAAATTCAAAAATGTAATTTTATTAAAATATGAAAAATAATTTTATAGATAAATGTAAAAGAAAATAATATTAAATTTCCTAAAAAAAAAAAAAAAAAAAAAAAAAAAAAATTAAATTTATATGTAAAAATAAAATTAAATTTTTAAAAAAATAAATGGAATTATTTTTTCCTATTAATATGTACTTTCAATTACAATTTTAGTTTTTTTAAAATTTTGTATTCCATTATGTAAAATAAATTTGATCATTTTATAACCTTTTTTTTTTTTGTAAATCAAAAACATACTTTTATTAGTAAATAATTATTTTAATAAAGAATTTTTTTCTTTTTATTTATTTATCATTTCATTTTCTTGTTATTGTACAAATTTTATTATTATATGATAAAATAAAAACATCAAAAATAGAATAACACCTTACAATTCATTTGTTTTTATAATTAAGAGAAGAGGAAAATATTGGTAAGGCTTTCTAGAGGATACAAAAAGAAGCACATATTGTTTTATTAACAATTATTACATAATAATTATGTTAGTGACAATCTTACAGAAATACAACAGCTATATAAAAAAAAGAATGATATGAAAAATAGAAATTTCCATATAAAGAGTAATAATTGTAATAACTTCTAAGAAAAATATTTAACTTCTACTTTAATTAATGAATAAATAAAAACTTGTAATCATTTGATAAAAAAATTAAAAAAAAAAAAAGTAAAAATATTTAAAAAATACAAGCATATATTTTTAAAATAATACATAGTATTAGGATAACTAGTTGTATATTTTAGAAGAATAAAGAAAACCGTTTATAGAATGATTGTATGCATAAATAAATATGTATGATTACATGTAACATTATATATATATATATTTTTAATTATGTTTCTGAGTTTTATTCGATTAACACCACCAAAAACACCAAGAAATGTATTTTTTCCATGGCATAACTTTTGTGTACATAAATCAGGAACTTTTTTAGAAAAAAATAGATTAGCATTAAGAGTACCCATTAATTTAACTAAATTTGAAATTCGAGAATATTTAAGAAAAATATATAATGCAAAAGTTATTAAAGTTAATACATTAATTAAAGTACCAGAGAGAAGGAGAAATTTAAGTGATCGGAGATTTAACTATTATAGAAATGGCCCAAGATATAAAAAGGCTATTGTAACATTAGAACATGAAGTTCCAGATAGTGTTAAAATGATCCAGTCCTGTAAAAATATAGGTAGAAATCCATACATTACTAAAAAAAACGTTATATATGGTGTTAGAAGTGATGTAAAAATTACACCTACAAGATCCCAATTATGGCAAATGGGGGAATGCAGATATTCATGGAGGTTACCTTTAACAAATTTATTGGCTGATTATAAAATGAATTTAAATCCTGACTTAAGAATTGATGAAGATTTTGTTCAGTTACAACCAGATACTACTAAGCCATTTATGCACTCTGGTATTTCTTCAGAAACTTTTAAACCAAATAATGTACCAGAGCAAAAATTTCCTCATGTAAAACATAAATATTATTACTCATAAATATATACATAACTAAATATAAATAAATTATGTATAATATTTGTTAATAAATTTTAAAAACGTTTGTGAAGTAGTATTACATAAGTTTTATGTAAATTTAAGTAAAAAAAAAAAATTTATATTAAGGTATGTAAAACTATTTTCCAATAATTTTTTTTTTATTCTTTATTTGTAGATTGATTTAACCCCATGGAGAAGACAAGTAAAAAAAATTTATGACTCAGGTACATTAGCACCACCTGAGTTTTTTCCGCAAGCATCTAAAAGTATTGAAACAATTGATTATTTAAATGAAGGTAAAAATAAGAAAAAATCATCCAGAAGTAGTGTATGGAAACCACCTTCATAGAAATAAGGATATTTAATTTAATTTTATTTTTCGTTACATTAGAATATTTTTTTTTTTTTTTTTTTTTTTGACGAATTAATTTAATATTTATATATTTATATTTAGCATTTAATTTTATAATTTTTTGTTTTAAAAAACCTTTTAATTTCTTTTAATAAAATTTTTTAAAACAACATAAAAAATTATTTTAACTTTTTTTATTGTATTCCCAAACTTTATTATATTAAAATTGTGTACATATGAAAATTTTGTGATAATATCAAATATAAAATTGAAAAAATTGATATAAAACAATACAATATTATATTCTACGAATAAAATTAAAAAAAAATTCAGTTCTACTAAATAATTTTTAACATGATTAAAATGAATTCTTACTTTTTTTTACTTTCATTTTTTTTAAAATGACAGTGAAAAGATTCGTAAAATTATGATAGTGTTAGTGATTTAATTTATAAGTATTCTATGAATTTAATTTCACTCTATATTTTTTTTAACATCATAATAGTTAATGTCAGTGTATTATTAAATATAAAAACAAAAAAATTTGTTTACTTGGAATTTTTTTTTTTTTTTCTGCTCTGTTGGAAATTGCATACAAACTAGAATGTGTGCATGCATTCAATTTTACTATTTTTTGTTTATCAAACTAACATAATGTAAAAACGATTAAAGTATATTTAGTATTAAACCGGTAACATGTAAATTCTATATTAGATAATTTTTGATCAATTAATGATACCCTTAAAAATATTATTGAAGAAAAAAGCAAAATTTTTAATCAATGGAGAATTGTAAAATGCGTTATAAAATGCGGAACTACAAAAAAATTAAAATAGCAATAGATATTTAGAAGTTTACCTGTTTAATTTTTTAAAGGGTTTTAATTAAGAAGTTTAAGCATAATGTTAAAAAAAAATATAAAAAAACAAGAATATATAAAGTAACTGTTATAAATATTTTAAGGAACTATTTATAAAAAATATTATTTTTTAATGTTACTTTTTAAATTTAGGAATGTGTATTTTACTATAAACAAATATAAAAATTTGACCTTTTTAATGTATGCTATAATGCTATTATTATAATTGTAATGATTACATAGCATAAATTTGTTTTTATCAATTAACAAAATGTATGAATAACTTTTAAACTATAATATAAATATGCTAAAATATGGAATATTTTTTTTTTTATTTTCTTTTTGGGAATTTATTTATTGTTTGTTCATACATTTTTGCATTTAAATATAAATTTATTTAAAAAAAGATAAGATAAACGTATGCATAAATATTTTATATGCATTATCCGTTCTTAATAGTGCTTTATTTGATAGACACATGCACACATGCAAACAATAATTCAATGATGCTCTAAAAAAAAAAAATACAACGAAAAAAATAAAGCGATATATGCAAAATAAAAAAAAAAAATGTAAATATGAAATTTTTTAGAAAAATGCATTTTAAAAAATAAAACAAAAAATCCATATGAAAAATAAAATTAAAAAAAAAAAAAAGAGAAAAAGCAAAATGGAAAAACATTTTACACCATAATTATCAAAAAAATACAATTGTTTGAGACTTTTTTATGTGCACCGTATTGCGAATGTAATTAAATTGTATGAAAAAATAAGGAAGATTTTATATGTATGACTCTATTCTCCTTTTTTTTATATTTATACATATGTAATACGCTTGCATAAAAAAATAAATATATATATATATATATTTATATGTGTATATTTTTATAATTTTTTTTTTTTTTTTTAATGTTTCGTTTTATAATTTCTATTATAAAAATATTTTCCATATAAAAAAAATTTTTTTTGTTAGAATTTTTTTTTTATATTTTAAAGCAACAAGTACATTAGATAATGTATGAAAGCTGATTAATTAGAAGAAAAATAAGAAGATTGTAAAATTACAGAAAATAGTTTCATTAATACTTATTTTTAATACTTTTTTTCGTTATTTTTCTTGTTATTTCTATTTTACTTTCCTTTTTTTCAAAATTTTTTTTTATCTATGTCTGTATATATTTATATATATATATTTATATATATATGTATATATACAAATTTTTTGATGAGCAAGCGCATGTTAATACATTTAATGAAAATAACATTTATAAATGTCTATATATTATATGAAAAAAGAAATTAAAAAAAATTCATAAGCTTTAACTACGTGTATTTCTTTTTTTAAATATGTCATTCTAATTTTTTTTTTTTTTTTTTATATTTTTAAATATTTTTACATTTTTACAAAAAAGAAATTACACATTCAAATCTATGAAAGTCATATATATATATATATATATTTCTTTAAAAGAAATATATATTTATACTTTTGATAAATTGTCATATATATTTTTAGTTATTTATAAATATTTACTTATTAAGGAGAGTTAATTTTTTTTTTTTATAAGATCTTTATAAAAGAAAAAAATATTTTTTTAGTTTCTCCCTAATATATATATAGCTTATGAACTTTTATTATTTATTTCATTGTTAAATTATAAAATATCAAATACAAAGAGCATTCATTACATGATTATATGTAAGAGAAATATAACATTAACATAAAATTATATATTACAATTAAAAAATATTTTATTTTTGTGAAATATTATTGAACATACAATTTTTAATTTAAAATTGTTTTTTTTTTTATTATGTCTCATATTTATTTATTTATTTAGTTAGTTTTTTTTTTAATAATTATATATTTCATTATTACATTTTTTATTTAACTGTACAAAAGTAAATACAACCATTTACACTTTCTTTTTTTTAATGATGAAAAAAAAATTCGTATGAATGAAATTATTAAAGTGCCTATAGAATAGTTGTATAACACTGTATATAAATAACTTTTATATTCATGTATAAATATGTTTTTTTTAAATTATTAAATTGAAATAAACATATGCATTGTAGATATATAATATGTATGAATTTATTTAAATAATAATTCAATGCATATTTTTTCTCATTTATTGTCTTTTTTTTTTTTTTTATTTTACTTTTAAAATTTTTAATATTTTATAGGCAGTTACTGAATATATATTAATACAAAGTAAATAAATTTAATTTTTTTTAATAATATAAACTTTTTTATTAAGAATTTATATTTTTATTATTATTTTTTTTCTATTATTAATAAGGTTGTCAATATTGTTAAAAATATAACAATATATTTTCTTTTTTTATTATGTGTAATAAAAAATATGGTAATTGATAGGAAAATGGAAAAGTATGTTCTTTTTTATATTCCTAATGTGTAGGATACTTAATATAAAAAAAATTAATACATAATAATTGCATATTAATTTTTTACATTTTCTCTTCATTTGAACTGAAGAAATCTAATATATAATATTATAAATTATTTTATTAATAATGGATTACATATATATATTCTTTATGTATTATCAATAAGAAAAAAAAAACTTATATATTATATGATGAATTGGATGCTAAAGGCATTTGTTTTCTTTTTTAAAAAAAGAAAAGAAAATTATATTAATCGTAGAATTATATATATTAATATATTAATAATTTTCAGAATTTTTAGTTGTTACTTTAAAACTAAATATATGGCATGATTAAATTATGTCAATATACGTGTATATGTATTTATAATATATCGTCTTAATTTCTTTCTTTTCTTTTTTTATATTTTTTATGCCTTTGCATGAGGCTATTTTGCATGTTATATTTTCTTATTTCTATTTTTTTTTTCTTTTTATTGTTTATTTTTAATTTTTATTTTTTTAAATGAGATGAATGATGAAAAGTGCATAAAAGAGAAATCATCGAAAATTGAAAAGTTAAAAAAAAAAAAAGGACCTAAAATAAATAATAATAATCAAAGTAAAAATGGAAATTATGAAAATAATGAAAGTAATGAAAATTTATGCTTTTCGAAATATTATGAAGAAAATAAAACAACTAATTCTTCTTATGATTTAATGAATGTAATAAATATTAATAAAATTAATGAAGACATTATGAAAAATAATTACTTATGTAATAGAACCTTTCAGGGTGCATATTCCTTTTCAGAAGAAGATTGTAATTTAAATGTTAATATAAATCGAAGTTTACACGGGAATCAAATGCAAATTAAAAATCATGAGAATATATGTAATAATGATGAAACTAGTTATAGTTCTAACTTTAATTCATCTTTAATAAAGTTAATTAATATGAATTGCAACTCATTTTTAGACACAAATAATTATAACAAATCCATTAATAAACAAGCATCGCATGATGAAACTAAATCTAATATTGAGGATTTAAATGTCTGTGTTAATGAGAAGTATGATAAAAAAAAGGATACAAAAATCAAAGATAAAAGTAAAACTAGTATAGAAAATCCAAATGATTATAATGAAATGAATAATACATTAGATAATTCTTGTTTTATGAATAAATTAAAAATGTTTCAAGAAGCCACTTATAAATCAAGAGAAAAGAGCATAATTAATAATTTTAATGATAATAAGAATACCTATGACAAATGTGTATTTGAAAAACCATTAAGGAAAAAAAAGAAAAGAAATTCAGAAGACAAAAAAAGAAATGAATCTAATAATGTAAATAATTCTAATAAAAATACTAACAAAATTTTTTATAATATAAATATTAATAATCTAAATAATAAGAATTGTATGAATATTCCCACTTGTGATATTGAAAATTTTTCAAAGAAAAATGAAAATCTTCTAAATGATAACATAACAAAGAACATTTTAGAAAATATGAATTATTTATGTTCTTTGAATACATGTGTAGATAAAAATAATGGTAAAGCAAGGATACTTAATAAAAAAAGCAATGTAGATTACGTGAAAAATATTATTCGTGATATTAATAAATTACATAAGGTACATAATAACAGTAATAATGATAATAACATAAATTTAAAAAATAACAACGATAATATGGATCAGCTATCATCAATTAAGGAAAATAATAGTTATATTAACCTTTTAAATATAAATAAATATGGTGAAGAAAATTCTATGAAATGTTTATATAATTCAGATAATTTATACTTATGTAGTTCTAAAATAAATAATAATAGTAATAATTGTAATACAAGTTTAAAAGAAGACTCTGTATTATATCAAAATAATGATAACATTTTAAGTAATCAGGGGAAAAATGAGAATAACGCAAAAAATGATATTTTTGTTTTACCTTTAAAAAATAATATTGATATTAGCGAAAAATATGTTCAAAATATAAATATAGTATCTTCATCAAACAATATTTCTGAAAAAATTTTAAATAATGATGAATATAAGAAAAATAATTCCTCAATGAATGAATATGAATATTATAAATGTTCATTTAAAAATTATGAAGATAATAACATTGACTTAAGTAAATCCCAAATTAATAAGGGAAAAAGTTTTAATTTAAATCAAAACAATTATAATAACGAAAATAAGAACAGTAACAGTAATAATAATATTAATATGAATAACTGCATAAATAATTACATTAATGATATTGGTTATGAAATAAATGATAATAAGAAATTACGTAATATAGAAAATGATCCTTGTTTGAACTCTTGCAAAGTAATTAATCAGAATAAGAAGAAAAATTTAATTAATATTATTAATGAAAATAACTCAGAAATAAATAATAGTGAAAATAAAGTTTGTATTATAAAAAAAAAAGTGTCAAAACATAATAATGAAACGAAAAAAAGTAATGATATATATAAAGATGATAATTCTAATTATTCTAATGAAAAAATAGCATATAAAGATATTTATAACAATGAAAATCTTACAAATTGTTTCATTAATAATTATTCCAGTTATAAAACCCCTGTTAAAAAAAAAGGAAATGAAAATCAAGATAATTCATTAGACAATGTTACTTCAGTCAATGAAATAATTACTAACATATGTGAAATTTTACAAAATAATACTACTGATAATAAAATTAATAAAAAACTTGAAAATTCTCCATCACCTAAATTAATGAATATAAATTATCATGACAAAAATAACAATATAAATAAGAATGAAAATAAAAATCTCAAGAATTATATGGATTCTATAGATAATAAAAATTATCATTTATTATATAATAAAGATAATGATAAATACAATTATATGAACAACAATGAAAAAAATGATAATGAAATATTTAATACATTAGAAAAACAAAATACAGATAAACTAAAAAGTAATGATACTTTACTTCTTCTAAAGAATTTATCGCATAACGATAAGTTTTCATGCCTGAAAAATATTCAAGAAGAACAATTTGATTATTTAAAACGAAATGGAGAAATTTTAAAAAATAGTAATTTTTTTTCTGACACACAAATAGAAACAAATATAGATGATCCTTCATTATATTCGAAGAAAAAAAATCAGTCAATAAATTTTCAAATTGAAGAAACATTTAATTATGAAATTGACAAAACTGAAAATGAAGAAATAAAAGAAAATGAAAAAGTTAAAAGAGAAAAAAGTTTTAATCAATATGAAAAAAGTGAAGATGATAATGAACATAAAAGAAATAAGGATATATGCAATAAGGTTAGTCATTGTATAGAATCGAAAAAGGGAAAGAGAGATTGTATTAATGAAAATTATCAAAAAACAAAAGAAAATGATAATGGTGAAATGTATGAAGAAGGATATGAAGAAGAAGATGAGGAAGATAATAAGGAAGAAAAAGAAAATTTTGAGAAAGAGGAAGAATTTGTAGAAGGATATTTTGAAGATATTAAGAACTCTATTGAAGAAAAGAGAAATGTTAAGAGAAAGCTAAATAATAAGGAATGTAAAGGAAAAAATCAGAAAAAGATGATGAATAATACTAAAAAAAATTCATCGAAAAATAATTGTGAACTTCATAAACATAAAAAAAATGTGCATGATAATTTTTCAAAAAATAAAAATCATATATATATTGACCATTATAATGATATAAGTAAAACTATTTTTAATTTAAATAATCCTAATATTGATGATTTTACAAAAAATAAATTACTTGAAATGATAAAAAAACCATTTTTTTCTGATAATGGAAAAATGCACATTTATTATGAAAAGGAAAGAAAGCAAATGCAAAATGGAAAAGATATGAAGTATATTAAAAAAGTAACGAAAAATGGAAATGAAAATTTGAACAATTTAAAAAAAAATAAAAATATTTTAAAAAATTATATTAGCTTTTTTAATCGTGATAAAGAATTAAAAAAAGAAAATTCAAAGGAATTTTTTGAGCAAAATGAAAATATGCAGCACATCATGAAAAAATATCACGAAGATAATTTTTTTAATAATTCAGATTATATTTATAAAAATCAGGGATGCGAAGAACTGGGCAATAATCCACATGAAGATAATGAAAATAATCCAAATAATAAAAGATTAAGAGCAAATATAAATTTATCAAGCGAAAAAAAAACAAAGGAAAAGATTGGAAATCAGGAAAGTAGTAATGAAGATTTTGATAAATATAATAATAATGATATAAAAAGTATAGAGAAAAAGAAAAATAATAATGAAAGAGAAAATTTTCCCATGAATACAACAAAAGATAGGTCTAAAAGAAATAGAATAAAAATAAATAATAACGAAGATAATGAGGAAAGAAGGAAAAGTATTAAAATGGAAAATGAAGGTGATAGAAGGATAAATGAAAATAACGAAAATTTAAATACAAATAAATCAGGTAAAGAAATTTTATATAATGATAATGATATATGTACACAAAAATTTTCAAAAAATGAAATATTTAATAATACACAATTAAAGGATGATGATAGTAATAAAAAAGAAAATGCCATATTTGTAAATGAAAAACAGAATTTTCCTACCTACTTACAAAAATCAAAATATCAAAAAAATTATTCAGAAAATGAAGAAGAAAAATTGAATATTGAAGGTGAGGATGATGAGGATAGTAATGATTACATAGCTAGTAGTATCAAAAAGTATGATTCTGATGATATATGTAATAAAAATTTTCATAAAAAGGTAAGCAAAGAAAAAAAACAGAAAATGTATTTGTGTGATATAATGAAAAGTGATGATTTAAAAAAAATTAATGATAATTATTTTAAATTACATTCTAATTTAGCAAGTAACTTATTAAGTACAAGCACTAGTAGCAGTTATAGCAATGATAATGTAAAAGTAAGTTTAAGTAATTACGAAATGAGAAAATTATCTTCCAATTCATGCATAAATAAAATTTTTCTGGAAGATGAATTGCATAATAATTTAGGTATGAACTTTTTATTAAATAAAAATTGTAGTTTGTATGATAATAATAAAAAAAATGTGGAAGGAAAAACTTCAGTAAGTATAGATAATAATTCTACAAGTAATGAGACAAATATAAATGAAAATAATAATGGTAATGGCATTAGTGGTGAAGAATGTATAATAAAAAATAAGTCCTTTTTAAGCGAAATGCAAAAAAATGTTATCAAAGAAATTCAAATAGAAAATAAATTTACACACAATTTAGTTCTAAATAATAAATATGTAAATGAGGAATGTGTCATGAACGACAATAAAATAATTGAAAAAAGGGAAGTGAAAGACAAATTAAAAAATGATGAAATATTAAAAAAATCAGAAAATCCATTTTATCTTAAGTTAAATGAGAATAATGATTTAATACAACATATGAAAAATGACAATTTATGTTGTAATAAGGATATTTTATGTAAAAATATAAGTAAAAAAAATAGTCAAACACTCAAAGGCTATGATACACTAAAGATGAATGCAAATAAATATTATACTAGCAACTCACAATTAAAAGGAAGAATGCTATTTAAAAGCAAAAGTTATAGTGATAATGATAATTTTTTAAGCCTTCATATGAAAAGAAAGATGTCGTCATATTCTGATTATAAAGAATTTGATACATTACATTTAAAAAAATATAAATTACTTAAAAATAATTATACAAAAGAAAAAGAATTTTTATTAAATAGGACGAATAGCTTAAATATAAATTTAAATAAAGTAGGAGATGACATACTAAAACATGATATTCAAAATAGTTGTGATAATAATAATAATATTATAAAGGAAAAGAAATTGAGACATCAAGTCACTAATAACAACAAATTACAAGAGGAATCATTTAATACTCAAACAAAGAATTTGTGCAAAGAATTAAATGAAAATGATACAATTATAAAAGACAAAGATGATAATATAGAAAATAAAAAAGAAGAAACTAATGAAACTTGTAACGTAGTAGAATTAACAGTAAAAAATGAAATAGATAAAAAGGTATGTACATTAGTAAATTGTCCAACACATAATCCCCAAAACTATACAAAAAGTATGGCGAAAAAAAATGATTCACAGGGAGATTCAGTAATATTAAAAGAAGAAAATGATGAATTAAAAAGAATACCAGGTGTATATTATGATAAAAATTCTCAAAGATGGTTTGGTGAGCATAAAATTAACGGTGTTAAGTGTGCTCAAAGTTTTGCAGTAAAAAAGCATGGATGTGAGGAAGCAAAAAGACTAGCAATTGAATGGAAAAAAGCAAGAATAAGAGGAGAAGTTTGGGATAGATTTATAAATAAAAAAAAAAAAAATAATAATAATAATTGTTTAAAAGCATCTAAATCCAATAGACCTTCTGTAGAAGAATTAAGAATGAAATATTTATCTATGAGCAAAAATATGCCTAAGGTACGAGGAGTTTGGTTTAATTCTACTCCTCAAAGAATGGGATGGGTTGGCCAAGCTTATAAAAAATGCAAAAGAATTGAAAGAATTTTTTCCGTTAATAAATATGGTTTTGAAGGTGCAAGAAAATTAGCTATTGCTTTTCGAAATTCTCAAAAACCATCTAATGAAGATAGTGATGAAGATAGTTGGTCTAAAGATGACAAAATAAATGTGAAGAATAATGAAGATAATTTAAATAACTATGAATATAAGAGTAATTTTTTTAGTTCTATAAATAATATTAAGAATAATAATAAAATTGAAAGTAAAGATATAAGAATTAATTTATGTAGAGATGCCATATTATTTATTTTACAGGATTTGGAAACTATATTAGAACTAAATATACCTTTATTAAATAAAAATGTAAATGTATATAAAATATGTATAAAACATCATTTAAATTATTTAACATTAATAAAGAGTGAGGAACAGATTATTCCATATTTAACGGTATTTGGCGATTATATACAAAGATGTATTTTGCCAACTGATCTCCCATATGCTGAGTTATATGTTTTAATTGATTCATTAATTCATAATGAAATATTACCATCATTTGATCATAAGCAAAATTTTTGTGAATATTCAGCAACAGAAGATCCTGGAATAATAACACCATCCATGTTATTATAATGAAATTAATATTTAAATATATATATATATATATATATATATATATATATATATATATATATATATAATGTTTATTTATTTATTTATTTATTATTTTATTTATTAATTTATTTATTTATATATTTTGTCAATATTGCTAATTATTTAATTTTATATTTTTTGGCATTAAAATCAATGCAAATTTACTAAGAGGATCATTATTATCAGTGAATGATAAATTGATGTAATTGTAAGAATGACTTTTTCTATCAGTAATTTAGTACTTATTATAAGTATAACTTTTATTAAAAATACAGAAATAGTATTTTTTTTTTTTTTTTTTTTTAATATAATTCACTTAGTATTACATATATTTTTATAAATGTTACATTAATATTATGCTTATTTTTATCAGATCGATATTTTTATATTTATTCTTAAATTAAGTTAAAACATGTATATATATATATATATATATATATATATATATATTTACTTCTGTACTTATCTGTCAATATATATAATAAACTTTATATTTTTAATTTTTTATTTTTTCATAAAAAAAATGTACTTTTTTTTATACCATATATAAAAGTTAATTATTTTTATAATTTTTTATTTAAGCCGTACTTATGAATTATATGTATAGTTCATAAAGTATTATTTTTATTATTATTTCATGTCTTGTCTTTTTTTTTTTTTTTTTTTTATTAAAATAAAATTAATAAAATAACATAATGTTAATTTTATTAAAAA